TTCCAATTCTTGAGTTCTGGAATTACCAATGAACAAATAATATTGAATCACAGGTGGTTAAAATGATGAACAGTGTATTTTAGAAAGGCACGGTCATCATAGTTTGGAGGAGTAAGTCTACCCACTTAAGTTTCACGCTGTAAAACATCCTACTAGTCACAAAGAGAGAGTATGAAGATCGCCATCCTACTCAGAAGTCGATATAGACAACACTCGTCCTGAAGGCTCCGCCCCCTCGCCGCACGATTGGCCGCACGCGGTGGCGCGACGAGCCATCGATTCTGTTGACCGTTCCCCCAACAAGATAGCCATTAGCGGCGCACGAGGCCCCAGTCATTAGTGGGTGGCACATCGACCTACCCTGGCCTGTCAACGCTCGAAACGCGCGGCTACCATGCCCATCAACGAGACAAATGCAGTCTGACAACATTAAAAAAAGGACAGCGCAAGGCTCATCCCGTTCACAATCGCCATGCTGATGCAGCAATTTACAGGAAGTATTCTGAATGGATAACAATTCACATAACATGAGTGGACGCAGCTTTCCACATAGATCCACTGGAGGAAGCGCAGAAAGATTTTCTTTACTTCAAAATCTTACAGTGAAGTACTTCTCCAGAGTCGCTCATCTTGCATTTGCGTGTAAAGTGAATAGCCGATAGAAATTAGCGAGCTGACATCACATACGAAATCACGATTCGTCTTCATTAAAAAATACTGACGGTAACTCAAAATTTATCTCCTAGAAATCTACTTTCATGATTTGAAACAGTCGTTTTTCATATTCTCTTTCCATTTCCCTAGATCCTGAGATCTGAGATCCACAATCGCAACTTGTTTGGTTTCTCCAGAATTGTATCCCATCGTTTTTCTCGATGGGTACATGGTCCACGATCAATGACGTCTCTCAAAGTTTTGGTCGAACGCGGATCTTAAGCGATATCAATGATTTGTCTGGTCGGGTCTGTAATGGCGCCATTGACGTACTAGCTGGTTGGTCTGTCAGGCTGCGATCTGGTTGCAAGGCGCGGCGCACTAATCGATTCGCACACCACGCACGCTGCCACTACCCACTCCGTTCTCATTTCTCTCCCATATTTTCTGAACTATTGCTCTGCTGACGCGCGGTTCATTCATGGAAGTGATATGAAACAGAAACGAAGTGTGAGAAAGTCACGAAGGGTATTGAGAAAGGGAATGAAGATTGGCATGAAAATGAGTTTTTATATCGATCCACTAAAAAAGGAATAACGGACAAAAGAAAGGTGATACAACCCACCTTTGCAAAACCTTTGTTTGTCATTGTTTTTTTCTTTTGAATAAGCAAAATTCATGAAAATGATCTACCAATCCCTTCTAATACTTGGTTCTTTAGGTACCGGAGAATCAGGGAAGTCGACGTTCATTAAGCAGATGCGAATTATCCACGGGAATGGTTATTCAGATGAAGATAAACGGGCTCATATTCGACTAGTCTATCAAAATGTCTTCATGGCCATACAAGTAAGTCTAGAGCATAAGTTCATTATTTGGTCAAAGGGAGTCGTTAGCCTTGTGAGTCGAATACAAGGAGGCCACCTCGATTCTGCCTCAGATAATAGCAAAATGATATGATAGGTTCAGATACCGAATAAAATGGCAAACTGGAAATGATAAATTGTTGAAAGGGTAAGGGGATGTACGAGTCTCATCCGCTAAAGGGGGGGGGGGAGTGCTGCAACAGTTCACATCGCCTCAAGTAATCCACTTTTTTGCAAAGGAAGGAAGCCTCCTCGGGGATGGATGTTAAAGCGAAAGCGAAGTGGTTCATGCAGTGCTGGGATTTCTCCCCTGCAAAAATTGAAATCTCTATAGGCGGTAGCAATTACTGCACGACATGCCCCTTCCCCTTTACTGGATGGAGTCCCATGAGTTTCGGTAAAGTATTACTATATTTTACACCTTTATGGTTTTGCCTTTAACAATTTTCGTAAACCTACTGCTCTTCTCCTGAAATTTCTAGCAGGGCTCTTGTTGTCGTAATATGGCGTAGGAAGAGTGATATTTAAAATAGTGTTCAAGACGTTGTGTAGTTTTGTTAGCTTTTTTTCGCTCAATTGGCGGGTCTGACCCCAATGAATTGTTTTTATCCCTGCTAGGTTTTTTTCATGTTCTTATTTATTACAGTCAATGATTCGCGCTATGGACACTCTCGGCATCGAATTCGGCGATCCTTCAGAAGAGTTACAAGAGAAGGCTGCAGTCGTACGAGCTGTGGATTTCGAAAGTGTGACTTCGTTCGAAGAACCATATGTATCCTACATCAAGGAACTTTGGGAGGACAGTGGCATCCAGGAATGTTACGATCGTCGACGTGAATACCAGCTCACCGATTCTGCCAAATAGTGAGTCATACATTTGTTTAACTTCTTTGAAAATACGGTTTTAATACACACGAATGATGAGTAGGTTACCAACAGGTCACGAAAATGTTTGTTATGAGCATTTTGGTCGCTAGTCACACTTTCTGCTCTCGCTTTCTGGATTGCATCTATTCCCACGCAGGAATGCTAATGAAATTCAATTGCCCCGTTTGTGTATCGTTCGACCGTCTCGCAAAAGTCTTTCGTATTATCAAATGACAAGTATCCCATGGGAAAATAGCCGTGTTTGTTGAAAATTTCCTTCCTTCGAGGCATGTTTTAGAACAGTTCTTTTGCGTTCTTCTGTGTTTACATACATTGAATTGAAATTGCTTATGAGGTGATTCATATAAGTGTGGTTTAAGAATGAGTGTTTCACAAGGGCTTTGGCGGTGGGCCAGCCATTTGTTCCCGTAATGACAGTCACATGCAACACTGCATTTTTCTTGCTATGGCTTATCCGAGTGATTTCAGTTATCTGTCCGATCTTCGACGATTAGCAGTGCCGGACTACTTGCCGACAGAACAAGATATTCTGCGGGTTCGAGTGCCCACGACCGGTATCATAGAATATCCCTTCGATTTGGAACAGATTATATTTAGGTATGTCTACAGTTATAGCAATATTCGTAATAAAAGAGTTCTCTTTTTTCTACAGGTCATAATGAGCTGTATAAGGGTCTAGTAAAATAGCGCCATTTTTCGTACTTCAGGATGGTTGACGTCGGAGGACAGCGATCTGAACGACGGAAGTGGATTCATTGCTTCGAGAATGTCACATCTATCATGTTTCTCGTAGCCCTGTCAGAGTACGACCAAGTTCTAGTCGAGTGCGATAACGAGGTATGTATAGTTGAAAAATTCCTTACTCGGATAATACTTACCTTACTTCAGAATAAGGCTCCAATTCACGTTATACACTGAAAGATAAACGTGTTTCAGAATCGCATGGAAGAGTCTAAGGCGTTGTTTAGAACAATTATAACATATCCGTGGTTTACAAACTCGTCTGTAATTCTCTTCCTGAACAAAAAGGACTTATTGGAAGAGAAAATACTATACTCACACTTAGCAGACTATTTTCCAGAATATGACGGTAAGTGATTCGATCTCTGTTCAAATCTGATTGTTTTTTTTTTTACAAACGCAGCATACTTCGGTTATTCTAGGTCCACCGCGAGACCCAATAGCTGCGCGCGAATTTATTCTGAAAATGTTTGTCGATTTGAACCCGGACGCCGACAAGATCATTTACTCCCACTTCACCTGCGCAACAGGTACGTAACTGTATAGGCAGTTGAAGGTTTTGGTCATAGAATTTGTTGAAAATTTTGTTGAAACATTCGTTTACAGATACGGAAAACATCCGTTTCGTGTTCGCTGCTGTAAAGGATACGATTCTGCAGCATAATCTCAAGGAGTATAATCTGGTGTAGCGCGTCGCCGTCGAGTCGCCGTGTCGCCGGGTGCTTGTCTTTCGTTGGTTCGTTGTTCGTGCGTCGACGTCAGTGTCGACTAGACTGCCCGCGTGAGCCGCCGCCGTTAAATCGCCTAGGAATCGTTGCTTGCTCGGCTGCCAAGCGTCGTCGTGTCGTTGTCCTCGCTCATCTCATCCAATCTACCAATTGATTATTTCTATTCCTTCCTCCACATAGTTTGCTCGCAGCGCCCGTTTAGGGGGTTCCTGTTCTATGTCACTGTTTCCTCCTCACCAGCTCGTATTCCGTCCAAAGTGCGCGGACGCTCCGCACTGTAAGTGCCAGATAGCGCGGCGTTCCATATTTCTCGTCCCTTTTCATCTTTTGCACTCTTTCCGCTGATCGCTCTCTCGCTGTATCAGTCTCGAGCGTCCTGCCCCTCCCAACACCCCTTCCCCCCTCCACGGCATACCCCTATAGCACTCCCCTGCATGGGTATCGGTAACTTTTACTATGTATATACCGACGTATCCCTAGTCACGATTATCTGCTTCTCTACCCCCATCCTAACCAATTCTCACAACACTCCAATTGACCCTCCTTTTCTCTATACCTTTTCACGCAGTACACCCATTTTTATATATTGTATCAAATATTTTCGATAGTTTCTAATTCATATTTATTAATTTTGAACTCATTTTGTGTAAATGTTTTGTGGATATGGTTATTTCATTGAATTTTGTTTGTTTTACAGAAAATAAATGAGCCAAAATTTGAGTCTATCGTGTAAACAGGAGACTAATTTTTTCGAAAAACTGCACGCAATACACACTGTACTGCTGTAATCATGATGAAGGTACTGCGAAGTTGGCTACGTGATAAAAATCAGGGTTTCCAACAGAAACCGGTCAACATTTATTGTTAAATCACATGCCAAAAACCAGTTCATTAACATCGAAGTAGGCAAAACACGGTGTAAGGAAAGAAATGTGATGATTCACGCATATAAAATACAAAGCTAACAAAAATCGAACAATGAAGTAGAAAGTATTAGGAACACGAACGCAAGTTGGAGATCGCTGCGCCATCACGAGTGAAGTGGAGCGAGCTATGGACGGAAGTTGAACTGTCATTACAGTTCATCATCGGCTCCACCTCCGGCAGTTTGACGATGTACACGTCAGATAAGAAGTATACAAACACAGCGCCAGAGCCACACAATCACTCCAAGAATGACCTACAAAGAACTTAGCATTAATCCTTTGGAGAAGAATAATTTCCATAGCGAGGATTGTGTAATTGACTTTTCCTTAATAACAGACGCCTGCGAATTGAGAAGGAATCAAACTAGCAGACATGAGAGGCAGAAGCCTACGTTCGAGACGAGCAACTCGACGTGCTAAATGTGCTGAAATGAGCGGGGAGCCCCGCGTAAAGATAGCGGGAGTCATGCCATTAAACCTGGCGGGTGCGTTACTAAAACAATCCGCCGTCTGTTCTAAAATGTGCTAAGAAGCGCAGACTGAAATCCAGCCGTGTCTGACAAGTAATTAGAGGCTATTGTCCCTATACCTGAGGCCAAAATCAAAACTTATCTGGACCGAAGAAATTCAAAATACGCCCGCAGTGCTGCATAATACTAAAATCGGTCTCTCCCTTTATATGGCTGAAGTTTCGTATTCTTCGGGGCTCGGAGAACATGACTGGCGAGTGAATATGGGAAAGTCGTCCTCTAGAATATGTCCTCAGACATTTCCCTCACTTTCTGACATTTGAAAGTTGAAGTACAGCCCCAAATCACGAGCGAGAGGTTCTCAGGATCGAGTCCCTGACGGGCTTTCCCTTTTGCTTTTGTGGCCCCGGTTGAAGGAGGTTCACAACTGCGTCATTGATCAACGCTTGCCCATAGTTACCCGCACAAGAATTTGTGAGTTCTTAGAAGTTTGGGGCCTACTCGCTGACGATTGCACATTAGCCCGACAAACTTTTTGATTAGTGTGTGTGTGCGGAGCAGAACAGGCGCGATAGTGTTTCTGAGATGAAAAATACCAAATCTGTTGCCAAATGACCCGTAGGGGAATCAAGCCTACGACCTCTTTCACCACTACCGCTGCTCTATTTTGTTTCATCACTCTATTCAGAAAATCGGTTGGCAGATTTGGAAAGCTGATCCGAGATAAGCGTCCAAAAACACATCCAGCAGTGTAGGGTTCATTGCATATGGCCACCTCGACCCATCATCCCATGGTCAGTCGACGTGAATCATTAATGAAATTCGCGGCGAGACGTTCCAAAATACTAGCTTTTTCGGCTGCTTCCAAGTAGTGCAACTTTTCCATTGCTTTCATAGCTTTTGTAAAATACAAATTTCATCTCATCGAATACAAGAACAGCGACAAGTAATTTCCGTACAAAGACTTTCGTGAGATAACTTTTTGACGATATGAAATTCAAAGATTACAACGGTAAGGGAGCTTCTAATAGCTGAATAACTCATGTAACTGAAGATCAGCAACGCAGTCAGTATACATCACAGCCACTTGAATCTTCCGCCCTGCAGTCCTGCTACGAATAAATAGAGACTTATAACCAAAGGATTCCTCTGGCTCGCACCATCAATTTTTTTCAAGAACAATTATGAACGCTGAGCAATTACTGACACACAGTTATAAGCGGACCTTACTTCAGTTTATAGAGCGATCCCTTAACTTTGTGCGCTCTGACCATCTGGAGGCTGAAGCGTGGAAGGTGGTAGATAAGCACCCGGTCAACCGGAAAGTCCAAGAAAAAGACCGCTCCAAAATCTCTAGGACTCTCAAGCCTCCTTTCATTAAAGCATGACGCGCTGCTGATGACCAAGCCGAGCTCGTGCGTGTAGATCAAGACAGCCGGTATCATGCCAATAACGTTTACCTAGAAAAATTCAAAGCTACAGCGGCATTGGATTTCCTTTCAAAATGATCAGGAAAGCACGACGATAACAGTATCACCATTTCACAATCACTGCCCGAATCTACTTGAGGCGTATCGCACCTGAGTCGGTGGCCCGTGCCCGAGCAAGGGTTGAACATGGGGATGGCCGCGCCCTTCAGCGACCTACTAGCTTCCTTATGGCCCGCCCCCCCCCCCGTCCGTTTGCAATGGCATATCTCCCCTATTCCGCATAGAATTTATCGTAACATCTTCCTTTGAAGGAATCCTCCTTTCATCAATGCCTCCCATATGTAAGCCTGTGCTCATAATCATCCCGACGAGGAGGAAACGTCTTATTTCTTTCAACGTTTAACGAGCACATGAAAAATGCCACAACGCAGCTGCTAGCTACGAACTGAGCATGGCTCCTAAACACTGAAAATGTGTCGCTTCTCGCATTCGTACTAAAAATATGTCTAAAAAATTAAATGATATCCATAAACTTTTAACCTAGCTAAAATAACGCAGAAACGAAGTGGTCGCTTTCTGTGCAATTACCGCCTAATTTTCGACAATCACATTTTGTGAACCCCATCAAATGCTTTCACATCGAAGAAGGTTTGTGATACCTTTTCTTGGAATTTCCTTCGCATACACCTTCCTCGTCCACAATACCATCGAAAGAACTGACTCAAAACTCATTTACATGATATGTAATCACCAATTTGTCCAATCGATCCAAGCCGTCGAGCAAAGGCGGCGTCAGTTCCCAGAAAGAGGTTAGACTCACCATCGAGCAGGATAAGCGATGAAGAACAGGAAGATATGGCGAACGCTGACTCAGCTAATTTTGTAATAAACAACTTGATTATTGAACGAGCCACCATGGCGTAAACCCAATAATGAGGGTCGTGGCACGGACAGTTCATAACACAAAATAATTCCAATTCTGCAAGACAGGAGGGGGAGGATCGCGCGGTGAACAAATTCGCGTTTTTTGCGGTTTCTGCGCCATGCTCCGAGCCATTACACTGTTACGAAAATGGAATTGCTGTAGATGGCAACAACTGTCGCAACACATGCAATCCCTTCTTGAGGTAGACCCGGCGTATGAAATAATACCATGCACATGTTTTAAAACATTTCAAAAGCTGGCCTTTTCTTTTTCGGTGGTGGTCTTATAATTACAGAAAAAAAACCATGTTAAAATTCTCATCAAAACATTCATGGTTCGCAAAATAGAATGTGATGGAGCCCCACCTTCCAAAAGCTATTCTTCTCAATAACACTAGAGACGGGGCTGGTCCTATTGTGGTTCGTCTGCAACATAATTTCTTCCGGCGACAAATATCGCACCGATTCCGAACCACCCATTTCTCCATCGGAACCATCGTCAACCACCTTAATACAAGGTCAAAAAGTTTGAGAGTAGCCGCAAAGTTTGCGCAAAAAAGCGGAAACTGTTAGTGGGAATCAAATTATCAGCAAAAGCTATACGAAAGAGTTCATTTAAAGCTTTCCTTATAATATTAGAGATGGCGTTTAGAAATTTTTGTTTTGACGCAATGCTGGACCTACCGCTGGATTCATAGATTGTGAGCCTGCAACCTTGGAAGCACGAGGCGTCTCCGACATCTCACGAGGAGCACGAAGATGTGTTAGTACAGGTTCATCCTAAAAGACTATAATTGTTTGTGTGAGCCAACAATGTGCTCATCGCAAAATTACAGAGCAAATGTTACTGCCATAATGGCAGTTTGCAAAGAGAACAGAATAAAACCAAGTTTCCACTCTAGCAACTATGAAACCCAGGTTTAATCAAGGGTGTTTGACAGGACTGTGTCAGAAAGGCTGACTGTTGATCACCGATTCAGTTCAAAAAAGAACAGTCGTGTTGTTGTGTACGCACTTTTTTCGAATATCGACTCATCCTTTGATAACCCATACCGATATCTGAGGAAGATAGGGTTCTGGGATATCCATCAGATCCGTAAGTTTTTTCAAAGGAATACCTACACTAGTGTGTGATAAGCTAATGTCACCCGTGCCAAAATAATGGCCATCCCTCCCGAACTAAACATTTCATAATCCTACTATATATAATTCGCTAAGTGTGTGTGTCTGTTTGTCAGGAAGTTCACAGCGCGCTTCGCTGCAGCTATGGAGCGCTGCATCTTAAGTGTGATGTAGGGGGCCGGTCGACGGACTACTTGAACTCAGCCCTCAAAACGCGCCTCGCGTTTCTCGCGACCCTCTCTTCAAGGCTTAGTCCTAGGGCATTCACCCGTTCTCTAGTCGTTTGTGCTCTAGCCATCGCGGCAGGACCGTTGAGGAAAAATCAAGTAGTCCGTAAACCGGGGTGGGACGGGAACATGTGTGGTGGGGGTCAGAAAGTGATAAACAGCGAGGGGTTCATAAGCGGCGCCGCGAAACACCTTTCACGCCATTAACAGCCCCCCCTCCCATGGCACAGTGAGCGCTGTCCAAGACTTCAACTCCAATTGCTCAATCGTCTCGCCTCTTTTCGAACCGCTACTCGTCCAAATGAGTATGTGACTCCACGGAATGCAATAATGACCACGGATTTCTATATCACTGTGCATCAAATGTCAACCGAGCCTGCTAAATTACCTCGCATTCTTCACATGGTGTTGATACATTCTTTGATAGCTCGCACCTATCGAGCGTACCATACGGTGAGTTAGCAACAAGATGAACAGGAAGTCCACCAGAAAATCGTCAAGCAACTTACCAAAGGCATTGAACTTCCCAAGGAACTTTGAGTTGAGGCCCTGATATGTCTATAGAAGATCAAACGCTATAACAAATCTCGAAATTAAAACTGCAAATGAACTTACCAAGGAAGTTGTGAGGGCATTGAGTTGCGAAGTTAGCCTACTATTACCCGTGCTAGCTTCCCGCCATCGAAAAAATCGCCCGTGATAGTGGTGGGCTTTCGAAATGCACCCAAGCGGGAAACGAAGAAGATCCTCCGTGAAGAGCGACGGAATATCCACACCCTGGGATTCTGAATCTGGCTTCCAGCAACGGGTTATGCATGCTCTCTTAGCCACTTTAGAATGCCCACACCTCCCGAGAGGCTCATTCTTGCAGTTCTTAGTATTCCATTCTGCGATCAGCGTTGAAGCTCTTTACGATTTATCCGGACTCAACCAAATTCCTGGGGAAAATTGGATGCCTTTCTTGGTTAGTGTTCATTTTTTAGCCTAACTTTCCACAGGCCATACAGTTTCAACAAACCCTACCGTGCCAAGTGCGCGCTAGTGTGCGAAGCTAAACTGGTATAGTCATAGAAGCCTAGCTGCTCAAAGAAAAAACAACAACCAACGTCAAAGCCATTCTCAAAATGTCTACAAGAACCAAAACCGATTATACACCACTGCAAGCAATTATTCGCGTCTTCAGATCACTAACCTCGATGATTGGCTCGCTGTCAAAAATTTCCAGCTGATTTGTACCATCCCCACTGCTATAAGATGGAGGTGGCGTCGGTTCGTAAACGGCTGCGTTCTCTCCTGAATTTAAGTTCTCAATTACCTCTAAAGATGAGAACTTGAATCGGTCCGAATTCTATTTCAAAAATACGATAACCCAATTACTAAAGAGTGCGAGCAACAAAACAGGTCATCTAACTAGGCCTATAAAGGCGCTATTTTAACACCAGTTTGCATCGCCAGAAGGCACCGTAGCCCCTCATCTAATATGTCACGCCATTCGCGTTGGAATGCGACTTTTGACCAAATCGCCGTCTTAAGAGATCCAAATACGACTGCAGTTAATTTACGCATATACTCACCAAAGCCCTACTCTCTACCATGCTTCGTCATCATCAGCCCCCACAGGGAACAAGCCCACCTGAAACATGAACTCAGACAGGTTTCGCGACCTACACGCGCGTATAATGTCCACATCTTTAGGAGGAGCCAATATGAAGGCACAGTGCCAAAAATTCAAAATCAAATGCATACAGATGTAGCTCCATAGACAAGAACGTTCAGAAGCCACGCATCTGGAATTGTCGGAGCGGAAGAAATAACAACCAAGATCATTCTTCTTCTGAGACGGTATATCTTCGTACTCGAACATTAGACCGCATCGCGAAATGTAGAATAAAGCCTACGGCCTATGTCTTCATGGGCGGCTCCAGCCTGTCGGAAACAGAGATAATGCGCTACAAATGGGATAGTACCAAATCTTCAACCCTAGCCACATGGCCCTGAAACGACCGATTCTTCAACGTAGACCGTTCTGATGAATGCTCCACCTATCAACCTCGTACAACAAACACTAGAAAGATAGTGTCTCATTACAGCAGTCATTAGAGGAACGATGATCCACAAAACAATTCCAGTGTATAGGTCACATTAGAATGAAAAGACTATTTTCCTGAAAAAAAAACGAAAGCAACGAAAGGAAAAAACGGAACCTTGCATGGCCAATAAGTTGCGTAGCTTCTTTATGTGGACTCCTCTTGTAGTTGGTGTTAATGGACCAACATTCTGACCCAAAGCGATAAGACGCTGGAATGATGTAAGGTTTTTGAGAAAACAATCCATCAAGATATCATTCAATGTTAATCAAGAGGACAGAGGAACAATGCTCATACAAGGTGAAACCCTATGAAATGTGCTAGGCGCACTCGTTCTCCGTTAGGCCGTGGACAGATAAGCGTCAAGTAGATGCCAGAATCCGCAACTGCAATCGTGATCGCAGTCGCAAGAGCGCCGGGTTAAAGGTGCAAATAGCCTCATTCATCCCCCACGATTTGTAGCGAGTTCCTAGCATCCAACGCACCCGGCAGGGTAAACATCGAGTGTTGAAAATGGTTGAGACAGCATTAGCAACCTCTAAAGGAAGTCTTGGTACAACTAACTCTGCTCCCCGTGATCAAACGCCCACCCCCTTGTGGTAGATCGTGTCGTGTTTACGCATCTACCTTATTTCCCTCCTATTCCCTCTTCAAAACCCCAAGAATGCTAGATGCGACCCCTTCCTCCCACAAAGGCATACGACTCCGTCGAGCAATCTGGTAGGCAGTATGAACCTTGTCTGTGGTTCATAGAGTCCCCTAGACGGGTAGCGTTCCCTTTTCCTGACTTTATTATTTTTCCAGCTTTTCTAATTGACCCAGGCGTGGTCGTGCCACGATGTTTAACATAGACTATCACCTCTTGTATGCAACAACGACATTGTTCATACAGTGTGTACAGAAGACAAGTTGGAAGGAATGGGTTGGCTTTAATGAGAGAGCACAGCTGGTCCAATGAGCCATCCGCAGAGAATGCGCGAGGGAGCACGCCGAAGAAAAGCACACAGCTAGGCCGATGTCACAGTTTGCGAATCGAGCGATTCGCTAGCGAATCGCTGGATCCGAGGTTGCGCCAGCGAATTGAACGTGTACACAGGTGATGCGATCTAGCGGGTACACGGCTCGACTGTGAACACGGTCACTCAACTCCAACTTGAGACGTGGACGCTGTTTTGAAAGTTGGCGGGCTCCTCCGAAACGTTGGGTCCCGACCACTATTGGTCAGCTGGTACCTAGTTCGAATTTCGCTGGTGAACGTTCGATGCCTGGCGTTGAATCGCCTCAACTCGGAAACTATGACATCGGCCCGACAAACTTATGCACAGCGAGCAATAGTGAGGCCTACTCACGGACGACTAAACGAGGAGCATTGAACAAGGCGCCTAACGCACCTTTGCCGCCCATGTTTAGCCTGTGTAAGCGACGCATTCGGCCTCTAATCTCATCGCCCGTCTCCCCATCTCGCTCCCCGGACCAGCACGAGCTCTAACCCTTGCCCAGGCCAAGCAGAATAAAGCGGGTTACCCAGGCCTCTCCCCCCGCGCCTCCCCTTCCTCACCGAAACACATTGTAGATTTAAGAATGAGCATCGTTGGACCAAGCTTGATGCTCTCAATGCATTGAAAGGACAACAGAACGATCTCTACCAAACTGTCGTTATGTACGCACATGTAATGAGTGCTTACCGAGCCCTTTTTGTCAACCCCGGAACAGCAGGTCTCCAACCTCGTTTTCCTTGCGCAAGCACCTTAATGACAACATAATGACATCATTCTTCACATCTCACACATATAAGTTGGAATACGCCGAGCAAAAACTATAAGCATAAAGTGGAAGCCAGGATTAAACATTCTCTACTCCCTCATACCCGCACACTTCTACCGCTCGACCTGCACTCGCCCGCACCATCTCCCGAGCCTCCGTCCTTCCTTCCCACACAGCTCCGAGTAGCTACGTTGAAGGAAACGTTATTATCCAATAGACAATCCATTTGCCTTGAGAGTATTAATGCCAGAAAGTAAGGAATTACGCAGCTATATACTCGCAAACCTTACTCATATCTTGAGGTGATGAATTATCATTTTATGTCCTATGAGACCTCACTCACGCCAGGAGTTTACCAACATTCGGAAGAATTCAATCAATACAATATCGACTGTACGTAACGCGTGGACCGATGTCCGTTGTTTCAGCCTTAAGGAACACATTGGCTACCAAAACAATGTAAGACTAGTAGGGGCAGGTATGACGCATAACAGTCATAGAATTATGTCACAGTTTGAGAGGATTACACCCTGATAGCCGTTAATTATTCGAATCCGGGCGGGGCGGGGGCTATGGCGGCCGACGCCTACAATTCGTCTTCCTTACACAAGGCATTAGTCACACGAGCGCATATTTTAAACTGCCACATAAGGCGAAAAAAATAACCGCCCTGCTGGACTAAGACTTGGAGGGGACAGTGTGCAACAGGCTCAAAGCGGGTCAAGCGAGGCGTTGAGGAAAAATTCGGAAATACGACCCCCCCCCCCCACCTCCTCCGGAGGCCGAAGTCCATGAAACAACCCTCTTCAAAAGCCGAACTATGAAAAGGTTGAAAAGCTTGTTTAATTCTCCCCCAAAACTGCTCATAAAAAAGCCCTGCTACCCCACCGCCACAAAAAAAATTCGTTTAAGAAGTACAAAAGTGAAAAAGTCAAAGATCATTATTGATGAGTCCTACCAAACGAGCAAACGAGAAACAGACCAGAAAACGACAAACTAGCCACTAAAAATGGCATACTATGACAACATCTCTTCTTTATTATTTCCTCCACAAGACTTACCAAATTCTAGTACTACACAGATTATGGTTCTCAATTTACACGTCCCCCTTTCGCTCAAAGGAAGCCTTGTAAAAGCCTTCGCCAGCTGTGTGTTGACTGGACTTTGGCGTTGACCGTGGAGCAGCTTATTTACTATTGAAATTTGAACAAATATTCAAATGATTATAACTTTCTTCAAATATAACGAATTTTCAATCTGAAAGCAGATTTGGGAGTTTTGTGAAGAGCTTTTCTAATCAGTACTGAAATTACAAAAAGTTATAAGAAATAACAAATTTAGATCAATTAACGAGGAAAATTCGAGACGAGCACGAGTTTTTACACTTTCCGGAGCAATAACTTGCTTCATTTCCGTCAAATTCAAAAAGTTGATACGTCATACAAAACTAGAAGATTTTCTCTATCAAACGGTCGCTAAAGCAGCTTCATACGTCCAGTATTCAAAAAATGGCCACGTTGAGGATTTTGCAAAATTAACGAGGAAAATTTGTGATGAGTGCGAGTTTTTTTACTTTCCTAAAGCCATAACTCCGTTCAAACTCATCCAATCCGAAAAGTAAATACGCCATCATAAACTAGAAGATTTGCTCTATCAAATGCTTACTAGAACTGCTCCAAACGTCCAGTATTAAAAAAACGGCTACGTTGAGGATTTTCGCACGAGTACCGCCGAAAGGTACTTTTTCGCTACATTGGCACTATTTCAACGGCTGTATATCCTTTTAAGGGCGATTATGTACTAAAGTAAGAGCAGATTTGAAATCACTGCTTTTCTCTTTCTAAGAAAAGTGATTGATTAGCGTTTCTCAACTTTAAAGGTTACATGTTTATAAATTTAACCCTGAAGAGTCCGTTAACGCAATGTTGAATGGTGTACACCTCCCTGTAAATGCGCACGGACACTTTCAGAATTCTCTCGATTGTTCCTGAATTGAGGTTGTTTGTCCAAGGAGCCGTAGTTGAAGCGCGCGCAACAACTAGACCCTTTCTCGGATGCGCCGTGTACCTCACATCCCTTCAGATTCGGGGTCTTACTTGAAAGATGAAATATCTCTTGGAAAGCGTGCGAAATTCAGATTCTTTAACTTGTGTGGTGATAAAACACTGAAGTAACTAAGAATTACCGGACGCCTCAGAATCACGAAAATTTTGTGTGGGTGAAATATCATTTTCATTGGAAATCCTCTGGCCTGGCATCGACTCATCCTTGATATTTGTCTTCCGACGGGATGATCCACTGCATCAAAATGGCTCGATCTCTTCCACCCAGCGGGCCAATACGACCCCCCCCCCTGCGACGTGTCGAGGATTCCTCAACGCACGCTTGACCCTGCCAGGAACAGAGCGCCGCGCTATCGCGTCCCCCCCCCAACCCGAGTTTCACCACGAGCGCTTTAATTTGACTGTTGTAATTTTTCTGGGAAGGAAGAAACAGGGATTTCAAAAACTTAAAGCTTCGACAAACCTCACGTATTTCACTATCAGGCATGTCTTCGAGATTCATCTTTGATCCGGCGTGAAATGCGATGTAGGAGACTCTGAAAAAGTTCGAACATCAAGGAACACGCTGGAAAAATCAATACTAAATCCCATCACGAAAAATGGGGCGAAATATGAAATGAAATGTGACAGCAAATCACTACGAAAGAGTGTGCAGCTACACAGCGTTCGAAATCGCATTGCTCCAGGTAGTCGTTTTTCAGTAGCAATTTCTACATCGCAGCGGAGACAGTTGTATCAACATGGTCCGCTTGAGCTGTTTAGCAGGGACACTCAAGCACACTTACTTGCCTTTAATGCTTCTTTTGAAAAATTGAAAAACTGCCTGCATTAATGCTCATCGGCATGAGCTGCTGCCGAAAAATAACTAGTTTCAGCATCCGTATAAGTTGAATAACAACTTCCCTCTAGAAATAGAATAACGGTGCTAACTTAGTTGGGGGGGGGCCACGCGGCGGCGCGGCAGTCTGCTCACCTGGGCTCTCTCGAGCGAGACAGTGTAAACTCGAACATTCCAGCTTTTCACGCATGTCAAGTGACTGCCCCCACCCCCCACCCCCTAGGCTGGCCTACACTCCCCCTGGCCCACGGATTTCCGAACATGCCAGGCGAGCAGACTGCCGCGCCGCCGCGTGGCCCCCCCCAACTAAGTTAGCACCCGGATTAAATTTCTGGGTGCTGTGGCCCCCCGAAGCTGCATTCATAATAAACCTTATCATATAATCAAATTAATAACGCCACATCTCTCCCATCCCACAAAACTGCAACTGATATAAAATTGTGAAGGACACGACGATCAGGCAATGAGTAAAATCCGAAGAGGGAATTCAAAATGTGAACACGCAAAACCTTCCAGCTATGCCGCCGGCGTCTCCATGAATAGTTTCCGGCCGAATCAACTTTACAATAGGCGGACAAAAGATGACCGCTGTGGTGGTTACATACAAAACACGAGATTTCACGGTTAAGTGGCGCGCCGGACTTTTCAACAACCAGCTGTCGAATATGAGGGACGTTTTCCGTTTGGAATCGTACTTGAAGGTCACATTAATATTTTTCGATCGGTGGAAGAACGCCTGCGAACGCACGCGTCGTTGTACGGCCTAGTTTCGATAGGAACTTGATTTAGCGCTCGAGGTCACTCTTTGCGTTGTGATCATTACCATGAATTAACTGCGAACTAAAATGGATCCGAAATTGGGAAGTCTTTCGGGTCTCTGGATCAACACGTTATGGGCCCAGGTCTTTTAGAGAGACAGCGATCATATCTTGCGATTTGGGAGGTTTTACGACCAACAACTTATTGGTTTCAGAAGCCCGCACCATGAATAGTTTGGTTCTAATAGGGGCACTGGCTCTGGTGAGAAAGAAATTCAAGAATTTTCTTTCAGAAGTGACGGAAAACTCAAGCCCACAAGCGTTTTGTTTCGTACGGCACAGGGATATGGTGCTAGGGGTGAGGAATACCTCCCGTAGCAGAACTATTGTGAATGGTGTTCCAATCTTGAGTTGAGACCTGGCTTGACTACCGTGAAAAATGGAGGAGATGGAAGTTGTGCCATCACCGCAAAAGAAGTACGTAGAATTAGTAAGCATAATAAAGAGGGTTTGTGCCGTAATAAGCTACGTCCCCAGTGCGGAGAAGAAATTTCTGGCCGTGTTGTGGCTGGCCTTAGGCCGATGTCAGACTTTGCGAATCGCGCGATTCGCTACTAGCGATTCGCGCGCTAGCGTCCGCGGTCGCGTTGCGGTACCAGCCAATTGAGTGATTCACTGGCCGCGACGCGACCGCAGACGCTAGCGAATCGCGCGATTCGCAAAGTCTGACATCGGCCTAAGTGGGAGGCAGAGCACAGTTTTCCATCCGTGTGAAGTTTCTCTGCTTTTTTGCAACTGGCGCATTATTTGGCACCTTTTTTTTTACTGTGAATCCAACCCAATCTTACCGTAATCCCTCGTTTTAAAGAGCTATGTCGTGGAGCTATCGCAGTGCTGTTCCGAACGTCATCTGCGGCAATTTGAGCTCCAGGAGGAAGCCAGTTTTGTGCCCTTGTCCAACGCTTTTGAGTTCTATTCGGAATTCTGGCACATGTTTCTGTTCACTGCCAAGAAACGCTGAATTCCAGCAAGCGACAAAATTGCCCATCTGAATGACTAATGTTTGCCGGATGTTTTCAATTCCTTCTGTCGAATATGCTTTCAGAATTCACACACATATTGTTACATGCCAGGTCTCGCCTAAAGGCTGCCCTGTTTGATTTTTCCTATTTCTCTAGCTTTATGAAGCTCTATGTTTTTCTCTGCCCCTTTTTCTTGGCTTAAAAATTCGTATTTCGCTGTTCATGGAGTGCCCAGAATAAGGAGATAAGCTTAGCGGTCTTAGAACACACTGAACAGCACATGTGAAAACATGGGAATTTAAAAAATAATTACAAAAATGCGTGATTCAGGGGTTGTGGGCGGAGTTTGCGCAGTGGGCGGGGTCAAGATATGGCTAATACGGGGAGTCCGTGAGCCAGGGGTGTTCTTTTTTCTGGGTGGTCCCATAGTTAGTGAATCACTCTACATCTATTGCTGTAAAAATTCCAAGAAAAATTGTGAAGTAGCACCCACATTAGCCTTTTTGATCAATTGGTCAACCCATTTTCACGCTGTCTTTCATGGCTATTAGTTCGATTTTTCTAGAACCTAATATTTCTGAGATTATTTCTCCATCCCTACCAATTAGGATATTCCCATGCTGAGAAGCATAGTGGATCAAGCAGAAGATAGGCGAGGGTGCACCGATGGTTCATTCTTATCCGATTAACTACCTCCTCTAAGGTAAGTTCGATTCTTCTGAGATGGTGGTGGAATACGATAGGGGCTCTACGCAGGGAGCCGACACCCAGCAATACCAGGGTCAGTGGTGATGACCGACGTCCACAGCTTGATGGCGATGCGTTCATTCTGAAGACAAAGCTAGACAGCTTGTTTTTTCCTGAGGTCGTTCGACTTCACCTTGAGGATATTCATGAGAATTGGAGACGCAAGGGTTGCCAGCTCCTCCAGCTCCGCCATAGCACTAACCTCGTGTTATCGAACGACCAAATACCCCCGTCTCTTTCGCTCATCCTGGATAGGAAACGTTACCTAACAATAAGCGAAATAATCTCAAGCCGAAATCCGATCTTTCT